CACACACACACGCGCACACCCGCGCACACGCGCGTTGCCTGTGACAGAGGCCATTTTCACTGCTTTCAGCACTTTCTGTTTCTGCAGCATTCACAAATGCTTGCACGTCTGATCCCCAAGCATTCTCTTTCACACCCTGAACAACACACACACACACACACATACCCAATTTTGTCTCTTCCTTGTGTTCATTATGTTTTAGGGGAGGATTGCTTGATCGTGACCATCTTGTTGAAATTGGTTCAAAGGGGGTCGGAGGCTGTTGATGCTGTTTTTTTTTTTTTTTTCAAGGGGTTGCTCGAGGGCAAATGAGGCATTGTGGAAAGAATAAATGGCGTGTGGCCTTGGGCAGTGGTGTACGCACATTCCAATTGTTAACATCTGAACCAAATTTTAACTTGTGAGACACCCCAGACATGAAGAGCAACAATTGAGCAAGCGTGTGCTTCAGCGTTCTACCGTCTTAGCACCACAACAGACATCAGCTTTGGGTGGGGGAAGTCATGATTTTTGGTGGGGGTATCGTTTTGTGTATGGTGAGCTGTGTTGGTCATCTCGGGTACACCACATACTCAATAAGAGCAGTACGAGTATGTTTTTTTCCCCCCTTCATTGTGTGTGTGTGTGTGTGTGTGCTGATTTTCATTTCGTTAAAAGAAAATGGTACGATTTAACACATTTACACCACATAAAAATTAACTTCTTCTGAGAGCAAATACTTTTCCTCATTATGTGTTTGCATTCTGGTTCCTCACAAGCCCAGTTCAGCTGCAAGTCTCAGCTCCACCGTGCCATAAATCTCGTCATGTGTAAGGTTGCTTTCCAGGAAACCTTTGAAACAAAAAAGGAGTAAATTAGCTGCTGTAAAATGTGATTTGCACCCTGACTCACTGTCTAGTTTCCATCATTGTAAGGCTTGTTAAAAAAAAAAAAAAAAAAAAAAAAATCATCACAAACGTCACACTGTGTTAAAACACGTACGAGCCCAAATAGCGGGAGACATTAAGATTCAAATGAGGTGATATTTTAGGAACCAAGATAGCTTTTCTTGTGCTTTCACCACAAATAGAACAATTTGAGCACTTTTTGAAAGGGGGACTCAAATGTTCTTTGTTCCTTGAAAGCTTGTTTGCCCGCTGTTCTTTTTTTTTTGTTTGTTTTTTTTGTTGTTAATGTTGTCGCTGTGAGCTCTGACAGCACGTCGGCTCCACAAAATCAAACCACACTCATGACAATGCCTTTATTTTTATGAGGGGAAGTTGCAACAAAAAGGGGCAGCTGTCACGGGCGAATATCTATACCCATAATTAATTCCTCTCGCTTTCTCCAAGTTGGACGAGACATCCGACGCGAGCGTGACTTCAAATGCCGCCACACCGTGGGGGAATTAAAGCTGTGATCTGTTGTTTTAATCACAGCCTCGCTTACATCTGACATCACAGACATCGCTCTTCAAATCTGTCATCCGGACGCCGAGGGGGGAAATTCCCCTTACGCCCTCCAAGCAGATGACAGAGAGGTGCACCGAGACGTAAAACACACATCCTCTTTAAGTGGATTTGATGTGCCAGGAATTCGATGTTTGGAAGATTCCAAAGCAGCACGCGGACGTTAACGAGTTTAACTGCTGAGCCCATTTGAACTCAGTTGCTAGCAAATACAGCAGCACATAAACCGAAGTTTGAGGGAGTTGCCACTTGTATGTCCAAAACATGGAGGAAAGCTCATATGCAATTTGGAGACTGCCCATTATTGCCAGTTTGAGTTTCAAATTGGGATTTCAGATTAGTGTTTAAACCGGATTTCGGGTTTCCGACAAAGTTTATGGTTTCAAAATAGGTTTAAAAACAGGACTAAGTTTTAAAGCTTTAAAAGTTTTACATAAGGGTTTCAAGCCAAGGATTCAGATTGAAAGTGGAGTTACAGCCAGATTTCAGGTTTTAAAGTACGGTTTCGAGCCAAGGGTAGAGTTTGAAGCTAGGGTTTGCAGAGTAGGATTGTCAACCTGGGTTACAGTTTTTAATTTGAGGTAGGATTTCAAGCCAGAGATAGGGTTTCAAAGTTGGGTTTCAAACCAGAGTTCGGCTTTCAAAGTAGGACTTCAAGCCAGGGTTTTAAATCGGGGTTGTGAGCCTTGGTTAGGATTTTAAAGTAGGGTCGTAAACTTGGGTTAGGGTTTCAAAGTAGGGTTTCAAGACAGGGTTAGGGTTTCAAATCAGGTGCAGTGTCTAAAGTTAGACTGTCACGCCAATGTTAAGGCTTCATAGTTTCAAGGTAGATGTAGGAATTCAAAGTAGGTTTGTAAAACTGTCTTTGGAGTTCAAAGTAGGGTTTCAAGGCATGATCAGTGTTTGGAACTACGGTTTGAAGCCTGTGTTAGCTTTTCATAGTTGGGTTTCAAATCATCTCGAGGATGTAAAGATGGGGTTTTAATTTCGGGTTTCAAGCCAGGATTAGGGTTTCAAATTTGTGTTAGTTAAATACCAATTCGTAGCTAGATACTTAATTGATTCCCCGAGCTAATAATGAAGGGAAACAAAGGTTGGGGTTTAGTGTTATGAGTAAGGTTTTGTAGTTTGGGTTGAGAATGAAAGTACAGGTTTCAATTTGAGATGAAAATCAGGTCAAGCTTTGCTAGCAGGGTTTTAAGCATCACTGCCTCAAGTGAACACAAATGGGAACACTGACATTCATGCAATGAGATTGAGATTTGCAGTTGGGTTGGAAACAGGTGTGAATTTTATAGAGATGAATATATGAATGAAATGAATATCCAGGTACCGCATAGAGTATTTGGGGGAAAATGAATGGAGAGGAGGCTTGGCAAAGCGACAAAGAAGGCGCCTTGGATGTTTTACGCCCAGTGGGGAACTATTCATTACTCAGCGGCAGGCCAAGCAGCTTGTGAATATTTGAATATAAAAAAAAAATATCCCTGTGGCAGTCAAGGACTCGTGGAGTTTTATACTTGCTAATCCCTTGCATTCTTTTCATTGTCGCGATTGTCACAGTTGCGCCACATCCATCATCAACTTTGCCCAAAGTAAGACGCTGAATTTGAAAAAATATCGTCGTGACCGACCTCTCCCCCCGCTCTCCTACTTGTTCCCACCAGTGGACCCTCTCCCCGTCAACACGTCTTTACGCCGCTTCTTTCCAAGTCGGTTTGATGGCAATTCCCTCACCAAGTGGCTTGGCCCGGGCCTCAAGGAAATGCTCGACTGGCACTGGGAGTAATCACGACTCACGTTTCACTCGGAGTATAACGAGAGAGAAAGCGAGCGCTCGGGTATCAATCATGGCAGAAAGCAAACATGTCAGAGGTGCTTAGTCGCGATGACAAGTGGAGGTGACTTCATGTGGATCGAAGAAATTTGTGAGAAGCGAAGCACATGCTGCCTTCAAATGCATGGAAAAGTGCACACTCGGCAAGTAGCACACCGTTAGCATAGCATAATTCACTGGGTTGTTTTTGATTTACTGTCACAATATCAATAAAAAGTACCAATGTTCTCGCAAAAAAGAAAAATGTTGAATCGAGTCAGCAGGCCTCCTACATTTTTTTTTTTTTTCTCCATGTTTTGCGATAACGTTCAAATATATACTTAGGCAGCTACCGTACGGTATTTTATTAGGCTAGTGGCCTGCCAAGTGTGTTTGATTCATAGAAATAATAAAAGCCAAGGTTAGGGTTTCAAGTTATGGCTTCAAGAAGGAATTACAGCTTTAAGGTAGGGTTTTAACTAATGGTTTCAAGAAGAGCATTAGGATTTTAAATTGGGGTTTCAAACAGGGTCATGGTTTCAAAGTAGAGTTGCAAGACAAGATCAGGGTTCAAAGTTAGGGTTTCAAAGCTTTGGTTTCAAGCTTGGGTGAAGGTTAAAGTTAAAGTTACAGATGAGGGTTTTGGTATAGGTTTAAGGTTTAAAAGTAGGCTTTCAAGACAGGTTAGGGTTTCAAATTAGAGTTTCAAGACAGAATTAGGATTTGAAAACATGTTTTCAAGCCAAGGGTACGGTTTTAACCAAGGGAAAAAACTTTACAGTCCTGTGCCTTGAGTATGATTTTAGTGTAAAAACTCCAAATAATGACAGTCACTTCATCCGTTCGTAGGTGTAGTGTCGTCTCTTGTTGTGAACGTTCAGGGAGACTCTTAAAAGGGCTCGGAACAGAAAGCGAACCGTGCAAATGCTCGATAGGGGAGCAGGGGACTTTGAATTATTCACACAAACACCATGTCGCACTGAGAGCCGCCTCACAGGCGAGCCACCGCTTCTGTGTGTGTGTTTGGACGACTCCCTCCACATCCACAGGGTAGTATTATGTTTTTCAAGTTAGCGTTTCAAGCTAGAGTTCGTGATTGAATTTGTGTGCCAAACCAGGGTTTGGGTTTCTAAGAAGAGGTACAGTTAAGGTGAATGTTTCATGTGTGAGGGTTTCAAATTTGGGTTTCAAGAGAGACTCGAGTTTTAATGTTGGGTTTCAAGTCAGGGTTCGGGTTTAAATTTAGGGTTTTCTGATTAATAGCACGTCGACTTCACAGTGCAGAAGGTGTGGGTTCGATCCCGGCTCCGACCTTCCTGTGTGGAGTTTGCATGTTCTCCCCTTGCCTGCGTGGGTTTTCTCCGGGTACTCCGATTTCCTCCCACATTCCAGCAACATGCATGGCAGGCTGATTGAACACTCTAAATTGCCCCGAGGTGTGAGTGTGAACGCGGATGGTTGTTGGTCTCTGTGTGCCCTGCGATTGGCTGGCAACCGGTTCGGGGTGTCCCCCGCCAACTGCCCAAAGACAGTTGGGATCGGCTCCAGCGCCCCCCGCCACCCTTTGTGAGGATAAAATGTATCAGAAAATGGATGGATGGGTGAATGTTAGGCTTTCCGGCTCAGGTTAAGATTGAGGAAGTTTGAGCTTTGAAGTAGGATTGCTTTTTTTTTTTTTTAAAACACTGATAAAGATTGTTCCTTACGTTCAACTTTCCTGCTCTTGTGTCTTTCAGCGTGCCCATCAGGATTCTTCAAGCCCACTCAAGGCGACGAGTCATGCAGGCAGTGTCCCATTAACAGCCGCACCACCAGCGAGGGAGCCATAAACTGCGTCTGCCGCAATGGCTACTACCGCACCGACTCGGATCCCTTACAGATGCCCTGCACGAGTATGTATTACGTTGTTGTTCCACTACATAGCAGTTCATCTCTTGGGGCCCCACTACATCACAGGTTGAATTGTGGGGGAAGAGGGGGGTATATTTACCGCTACTTGTTATATTGTGGAAATCTTTTTAGGGGTTTTTACAGTGCACCTACTGTAATGCCACAGTTGGGATGCACTTTTTAGCTGATTATTGAACGCCGAGAGAGCACTCAAACCCAACCACAATGAGCACACTTATGCAGGAGTTTCTGTTGGCCACAGCTCGCGCTGAGACACACGCAGGATGGCCGTGGTTTAGCCTCCCTCGAGCTCACTGACGTCATTCGCGCCTTCACCAAGCTGCACTTCACAAAGGTGTAATGCAGTATTAACTTGTCTTACGATCAAATCAATTTTCGCCATTAAATTAATGAAAGCGCCATTCATTCTTCCCGGCTCCGCCCAAAAACAAAGAAAAAAAAGTATTGTATTGAATTTTTAAAAATAACACACATAACAGAAAATTTATAAGTGTAAACTCTTTTTTTGTGTGTAATTATTGTACCTCGTTAGTATCCCTGTGTTGAATGTCTGCCTTTAAGGGATGTGTTTAGTGAGTGACATGAGCTCAAGTCGGGTTGGTTGGTTATTGTTGGTGCTTGTCCTGACCTATAGCAGCTCCTTGTGAGTCTTCTCATTATATATTTTGATGTTTGGCTGTTTTTCACGTCCAATAAATGGATGAAAGTGCATCGGTGACTGTGGCTCTCCTTGCCCACGTGATGGCATCATTACAGTACCTTGATTTCTCCATTTTTCTCACAGCACTGAAGCAGCGGCATGACTAAAGATTTTTTGCGTGTGTTCAAATCCGATTATAATTTAATGCGTTTGGGTGGGGTGAAATGATTTTTTTTAAAACGCTTCCACCGTCATTATAATGTATACCCCGCAATTAATGTGGGGTTCACTGTACGCTGACTTAATTGAAGTGTTGAACATGTTGTACACAGCCTCTGTCAAAGAAGTGGCTGTCACTTGTTGATAGCATCTTCCAAGGATACCAAGGGTAAGCCGGTCTGTCCTCATCATCACACGGCCCTGATCAGAGGTTACCGGGCCGGGTCGCAGCGCATTGAGAGTGGGGCCAACCTTGGCTCTTGTCATGCCAATGAGGTGGCTTGGAATTTGAATGTGAATTTGCAGCCGAGAGGAAGGAACGCAGGGATGACGGCGGAGGTCGATGGTTGGGGGAGGATTGGTACAGCTAAAACAAAAGCGAGCAAGGAAGAGAAAAAAACATCGCCTTTCAACATGTTGGTAGCGTTGTGTTTTCTTCACTCCCTTCTGGTTGCGCTGAAAGGATGAGATGAAGGCCCCCCCACAACAAAGGGGATTTGCATAAGAAAGCGCAAGCTATTGTGCGGGTATTAGTCAGTGGTGGAAAGTAACCAAGTACAGTACTCATAATTTGTTACTGTACTAAGAAGATTTGACATGTGTGTCTTCTCGTTCTTCTTCTTCCTGCGTATGGAACAGGTTGGTTTAGGGCTGAAAAATGACTGGTAATCAATATGGTACGATACAATTATCATAATTGCAAATGCTGCAAAAAAAACCAAAAAGTTTAATTTCAGTTAGTAACCTTTTTTGTATGAAGTATAAAGTATGTAAATGTTCATAATTCGGTCATATAGAGTCTAAAGTTTTTAACAAAGTGTTTAACACCTCAAATTAATAAATGACCATTTCATATTAAATGTTATATGCTTATATTTTCATATAAGGCTAACTTGTGAGACCAAAACCTTTATGTATAATAATTCTGCTATTGTTTATTGTAGTAAAGATTAAGTGCTTGTTAAAAATTGATGAGATAAGAACCTTGGAAATATAATCGCATATTAAATTGCAATCACGATATTGAGGAGAAAAAAATTGCACAAATAATCTTTTTTCTCAAAATTGCTCAGCCCTAGTCTGTACCTAACTTGAGTATTTATTTTCCTCACAACTTTCCAGTATTTTCTATTCCTACTTTGTCAAAATTAGCCCGTTACTGTTTTAAATCTGCATGTATGACTATTTAACATAAAAAAAAAAAAAGAGAGAGAGCGTTACTGTAAATTCAACCTGCGTTGAGACCTTGAATGATTGAGATTTCCAAAGAAGTCCTGTGTTTCGATGTCGCAGAGGCAACCAAGAAGGGGGCCTTCTTCCCAAAGCTGGATTTGCGTTCGATGCCAGCGCCTAAATGAACCGTCAATTCAGGTCTGTGGGAGGAGTCCAATTGTTTACCTCATTAGCCATCCTCCATGGTTAGGTGCACACGCCGGAAAAAAGATAAACAGAATTGTGTGTTTGTTTGGCCTGCCAGTCAGTCAATGTGTGGGCGGAACCCCCCAAGTCACTCTTCATGATGCTGCTCCATTGGAAAAATGTGAATGAAACTCTTCAATGTGGGCACCAGCTCAGAAAATCGGATCCAGTGAATGGAAGTCCTGAGGGAAGATGGCAGCCCAGCCCTTGGAGAGTTCTAGTATGGATCAAATCAGTGCGCTGTTGCTACCGGGAAAGTGACTGACTGATATTTTGGGAGTTATTTGGAAGGTGCTTGATTTCTTTAGAAAATCCATCCAAGACTGACTTTGAAAGAGAGTAGCCAGGCTACACCCTGGGCTAGTTGCCAAACAATCGAAAATACAGTATAGAAAAAAAAAAACATACACTCAAATTGACAGTACCATATTTTTGGACTATAAGTCGCAATTTTTTTCATAGTTTGGGCGGGGGTGCGATTTATACTCTGGAGCGACTTATGTGTGAAATTATTAACACATGATTATGTCATTTCACGTTATTTTCACATTAAACCACAGGAGGGTGGTCTCGGCCTGTGTTGATAAATCAACGATGAGTCTGACCTACGCGACGTAGAAGAAGTTGTGCCGCATTTTCTACCTCTGGAATTGGTGGAGTTGTTTAAAAGCAACATGGAGGATGAAGATTTCATTGGATTGAGTGATTTGGAGTGACACTGATGGTTTGGTCAACTTGTTAGCATGTTCTTTATGCTATAGGTATCTGAATAACTCTTCATATATTATGTGAACATACCAGGCACATTCTCAGTTTGTTGTTTATGCGTCATGTAACCTTAGCATATTGTACACTTATTCAGCATCAATTTTATTTTTATTTTAAATTGCCTTTCAAGAGGATATGTCTATTTTTGAGGTTGGATTTTATCAAATACATTTCCCCCCAAAATGCGACTTGCACTCCTTATGCTCCAGTGCAGCTTGTATAGGGTTTTTTTTTTCTTTATTATGCATTTTTATGTCGCGTGTGATTTATACTCCGAAGTGATTTATAATTCGGAAAATATGATAACTATTCAAGGTACAACTGTTTCAATCAGGATACGATAACGATCACATGGATTAGCTGCACTTTTTTACTGTATTCCGATTTTAGCTCTACTTACTATTAACTTAAAACAGATTTTTTTTTTTAATTGTCAAAGTTTTTTTAGATTAAGTGATTAAACACATTTAAAAATAAAAATATGCACATTTTGATCCGTTTGTTATTTAGAACATTATTTCAAACTGACAGTGCGGAAAATGCACAAACATATCATATGATTCAGTTACTGGTTTGAAAGTATTGAAAAGACTTTGGGATTATTTCTTTACCGGGACCATCACCAGCTACTGGCCTGGCATGCTCTTTGCTACTTCTCAGATGCTCCCAAAGTTGTCACGTAAATATACTTACACTCACTCGAGAATCTCTTGCATCCCACAGCGGTCCCTTCGGCTCCGCAAAACGTCATCTCCAGTGTGAACGAGACTTCAGTCATGCTGGAGTGGATGAGCCCCCGGGATTCGGGCGGCCGCGAGGACGTCGTCTTCAACATCATCTGCAAGAGTTGCGGCGGTGGCCGCGGAGGCTGCACACGCTGCGGCGACAATGTCCAGTTCCTGCCTCGCCAGCTGGGTCTGACGGAGCCGCGGGTGTACATCAGCGACCTGCTGGCCCACACGCAGTACACATTCGAGGTGCAGGCAGTCAACGGCGTGTCGGACCAAAGCCCCTACTCACCGCAATACTCGTCGGTCAACATCACCACCAACCAGGCTGGTAAGCAGTCTTGTACCAAACACCAGAAAGTGATATATGGGTCAAAGTACTTTTTATCTTATAAATGTTTTGCAAATGACTTTGATAGAAGTCACCTTGTAAATGATCGTAATTTATACTTGAGTTTTTATGATCTTTGGTTGCTCCCATCAGGGTTTGCCACAGAGTAGGGGTGTCAAATTAATTTTAGCTCTGGGGCCACATTGAGTGAAATCTATTTTACTTCCAACTGGGCCGGACTGGTAAAATCATGGTATGTAACTTGAAAACAATTACTGTCAATTATTCTGTATTCTTGCTGGCAGAGGTCAACTGTAAATACACTGGCCTGCAAAAGTGTTCGGCCCCTTAAACCTTTGAGCTTTTGCCACATTTCACGTTGACCTAAATCTCATGATAATAAATAGAGTCCACCTCTGTGTAATCTAGTCTCAGTATAATTAGCAAATGCCCCTGCTCTGTGATGGTCTCAGAGTTCCGTTAAAGAATATTGGGGAGCCAACGGCATCATGAAGACCAAGGAACAAACCTGGCAAATCCAAGATAAAGTTCTGGATACGTTTACATCCAAATTAGCATATGAAAAGATTACACTAGCATTAATCCATCCTTTTTAGATGAAAACCTTGATAACGAAAGCAACATTGACATTTTGATTTCATTGGATTTATAGAAATTCAATGACTCTACCTTGATATACTTCTCTACGTTGGATGGAGTTTTTTTGAATGTCAATATTTGTGTCACTTTATGTAGACATAAGAGGCACTTCATCCAATGGACAAAAATCATTCCTGTTCATACGCCCACGGGTGTGTCACATTAATTTCCTTATCACCACCATTGGAGTCGTTTTGGTTGGTACCTGCTGCCGGAGATGTGTGAGAAGCAGAGTCAGCAGCAGGTACCTTTCATCTTGTCAGTACGCCACAGGGGTAAATTGCACGTCTCGTTCTCAACTGGCAGCGCCATTCTTCTGCTTTTTGCTCTGCGGTTCAGGCATTTAGTCGACAAACAATTTCTTGTCATTTGATTTTGCAGCAACCAAGGTGGTTAGGGGGGAAAGGTATTGGAGTAAAATGAAATGTATGTAGAAATGTAGTTAAATAGTTTCCAGAAACCTAAAAAACAAAATACAGAAACATGAAGTATTTGTACTCCGTTACAAGGTTGCTGGTAAGTGAGCAGGATCCAGCCATTAGTCTTCCTCTTGAATACACTCACCACCCCACAAGCACAAATGTAGAGTGGACACACAAAGAGTGTATGCTGATGTATGCAGATGAGTGGCTGTGAGTGCGCTGTCAATGACAGGACAAGGCAGAATGAGACTGGTCTTCCACTTCAACCTCATGGCCACGATTTGCAAATTGGCGGGCTCGCTGCTGTAGACCATCACACATACCATTCAGAGCTGATTACATCTCACCCGGCCACTCAGCGTTATTTTAAACAATACAAAAGCCTCAGTGATTATGGGCAAGTGTTCCGGTAAGGGCGGGGAAAACGTGCTTCCTCTGTGTGCTTCAAGTGACACAATTCAGATTTTTTTCCCCCCACGTAAGTATCTTAATTCAAACATGTCATGGCAGCATAAAAAAAAAAAAAAAAAAAACAATGAATGGAACTAGATATCTGAGCATCGAATCAGGCTTGTTCCAAATGTGGCTCTGAACCCGATGCATGTCTCATATCTGTCATATTCACAGTTCTGTTTGGTGTTTGCTAAAAATTTACCTTTTTTACGGTTTTTGGTGCATTTTCTGAAACAAAGATTTTCCCAAAGCCCTGTCTAAATAGGAAAGTAGTACAGGAATTGGTGTCAAAGAGGTATATTGAAGTGATATGTATTGACTAATAGCGGAGGAGCAAACTTGAGCCTGGGTTGTTAGTGGAAGTTAGGGGGGGAGGGGTCTTTGCCACATGCAGACTTCCAGTACAAACGAATCCTCTGTCAATCCTTGATTTTTAATGTTGTAAGATTTATTGAAAGTATATTCAACCGTTTTGGGTCAAAGTTTGATATATTTATTGTACAAACGTTTATTGATGGGCAGTTCATAATTATTTTAGGTGGGGTGTCAACTACTTTTTTTTTTTTTTCCACTGTTCGCTGTAGGGCTCAGTTCTTTACCCTGTGAAGAGCAATCAGTGGAGGAAAGTGAAATGTACCAACGTTTAAATCAGTGGTGGTAAGAATCAGCATAGCCAGACGAAACGTAATTTCACCCTTAATATTTCGATCATTTATTTGTATTTTTTTTCACTCCTGTTTTGTCACTGCCTGAAATGGACGCTTTACTTGCAATTAGGATGTCTGCTGAAGAGTTTTACTTCTTCCGTTAAGTGTAAACACTGACTGATGTGAGATGTGTGTTACTTGAAATATACTTTGTCCATGGAAAATGAATTAAAATTAAAAACTGGATATAGGCTTTAAGTCAGAAATGGGCACTTGGACTTGCAGTGATCACCAATGGTATTCATTTGTCTGGCTTGGTTGCAGTCAGCGTGGGATCAGATCCTACTCAAGGATAGAATGTGAGTGTGAATGGTTGCCCGCCTCTATATTTGCCCTGCGATTGACTGGCAACCAGTCCAGGTGTAGTTAGCCTTTCGGCCAGTCTGCTGGGATAGGCTCCATCTTTCCACGACTCTGAGCAGGATAAGCAGTTTCAAAATTGGATGGTTTAAATCCAACCCTGATCTCAAGGGTTCTATCAAGTGACACCTCCAAATCTCTCCCCATCTCCTCTGCAAACATTTGAGCTTTGCATTTTTTTAGCCCTTGTGCTTGATGTCTTCTCCTCCTCAAAGAATGTCGGTGAGGCTTAAGCATTGATTTGCTCTTTAATTGTCTCCATCAAGTGCATCATTTGGCATCGCAAGCCTCGCTGCCGAGCCAACTGGGCTTTTTCTTGATCTTGTTTAGTCTCCCGACAGCATTATGTGGCTTGCGATGTCTCATCATTCAACCCCCACCACTCAACCACCCTGCATATTGTTGTATGACCGAGGCATCTAATGCTACTCAGCTTTTATTGCATTTGTCTAGCCGCGCATTCACTCTCATTACTGCGTGCCGGAATCCCTTTAAATGTTCCCCTCAAATTGAGCCATTGTAGCAAAACGTCAGTATTTACGGATATCTGTTTGTCTTGCAGCGCCATAAAGTAGCCATTACAATGCTGAGAGTCCAAGATGGAGTCCTTTTTACTCACACGGCAGCCTCTTTTTATTGTCTGTTTAGATTTAAGTCACTGGTGTGGTGGCTTGATGAGGGCCTGTGAGTGCAGTTAAGCGTTGTAATGAGGCCCCCATCCCGCTCTCTCTCTTTCTCTCTCGCCGGACCACAATAAGTCTGCTGCCCGAGCCCTCGGCTTCCCCGGTTGCCCCTGCCGAGGAGTCCTTGCGGAAATTGGGGGAGGGGTGGGGGGGGGTCTCTGCGCCCTCTCCGCTCAAGTGCCCGTCACTTTAGATTATGCGGCGGTAGCAGACCATCGCGGGGAGCTGTGAAATGAAACTCCCGCGACACCCTACCACCGCCAAACCCCAACACCCCCCCAGCGTTCGACCCCCACCCCACCAGTGACATTGCAAAACCAGACTCACATGCAGGACTGCAGCGCTATGCTACAGGAACGGGGGTCACAGCGACCAGGAGCCTATAATTGCATCTGGTTTGTGAGGCTTGGAGGTTACATAAATATCATGTCAGCCCTAATTACCGCCGGCACTTCTGGGCCCAGCCGTTCACACTGGCAGCAAGCACTAGCACAGGCTCCAGGAAAGGAGGTCAGTCAACCCCCATTGTACATCACGGTTCATT